TGGGTGGTAAGGAAACTCAAGAGGAGGTATAGTTTAGTCTAGGAAGACTAGATTGTTGACTTTTCGTTCTGTGTCATAACACAATTGTTGTTCATGATGTGAGGAATGTCATGGATGGGGACATAACACTAGAACTTGTGCCATGCTAAAAAATATATCTATGCTCTTTTGACATTTATGGATAATAGGAGTTCTATTTCTTGTGCTTCTTCTCTATCACCAACAAATAACAAAAGTCCTCCTATTCTCTCTCCTCCACTCTCTTCATAATATGCAATATAGAATTAATGGAGGATGAGTAGTTTATGTTTGTTTTTGCTGGAGTCATTGATCTTGGTGGACTTTAGCTTAGCAATTTCCTCTATTTAGTGTTTAATTGTTTGAAGTTTCATTATAGCAAGTCTCTTGTACTTGACCTTCATGACTTGTGTTTACTAATCATAAGTCATCAGTATAGATATTATCTATGGAAACGCTGGTTGTCTACGTGCGGTGTGGGCATTTGGAGGAATCGAGAAGGATCTTGCACTCCTCCTGCTCCACATCAGTGCAATGCTAGGCGTGGCAATCCAGATTCTCAAGACCATGCTGGTGAGAGTGAGCTGTGGAAGTCTCTCATGAGCTCTTGTTGAAAGTGGGAAGCAGTGGTGTGGAAAGCTTGCATTTGAGGCGCGGGTGGAGATGGGCTCATTGCAGTAAGGTGATTTCCCATTCCCTTCCTTTTGTATCCTATCTCCCTCGTGGCCTCCCGACATGCTTCATATGTTCTCCTGTCTGTGTTCCATATGTTATCCTCTCCGCTTGCGAAGCATTGCACAGCATGTTGCTGGAGCTGGGTCTCAGCCCATTCGTTGATGGCTAGCATTTACGAAGGCTTCATTGGATGTTGATACAGAGAATTAAGTTTAAAGACAATTGGCCCACTTTTATGATGGGCTTAATCTATGTTGACTGGATTGTTCTTTGCAAAGCATGTATGCAAGGCGATTTTACAAGGAAATATATCAAATCTTCCTCAAAGTCAATGCCATAATCTGTCAAGAACCAAATCCTTGGAGAGCTTTAGGAATTAATATATGCATAATGAAGGATAGTTAAGTAATTTGATGATGAGAAGTTTGACATATGTTATCAAATATATTATCTAGCATAGCAATCAGGGATGCTCAACATCCCAAACAATTCTCCCAATTGAAAATAAGAAATATCACAAGTGCCATTTCCTACTCATCCATTCCCTTTGAAAACTTTCTTTCTATTCTGAAGGGTGGAGTTTTATATATAATGTTGTTTTATAGGGCAATATTGCTTCTTCAATGGCAACTAGCACTTGTTCAATGTTTCGTGACCAATCTATTCCCTTCTCTTCCAATATCATGGAATATAAGTATATGAAATGTTTCAAAACTAACATATTGGAGTACAATCTTAATCATTCTTAAACTCTTAGGAATACTAGACTCAACCAGAGATATAATTCAGTTCCCTTTAATCTTCCAGTCTAGCATCATTCCAAATCCAGGATTGGTATTCAGATTAGAATATTGCTAGCCTTTTGAGACAAGTATAATAGTTGTTTTGAATCATTAGGATCATCCTTTAGTGATTTTAATCTACATTGAGTTATAATTTAAATAGATTGCTACTTTGTCCTCGCTAGATGGAGAAAAAGTGTTATATAAGCTCATATGTTTTATGCATCAAGTATTCTTACAAATCAAATATTTATTTTAATAGCTTATTTTCTGCAGGCTATTTGCAAAAGAACACCCACAAGGTGTATGACCTGTTTAGTATTTGCACACATATCAATTTTGTTAAATTTATATTCTTTATTTTTCCACAATACCTATCTTTTATGGCTTCAGTTAAGTTATAGTCCTTTGAGTATTTCTTCAATTTAGGCACTATATTTTTGGTTTGCTTAAGCAAACCAACATAGAATATACCTGGGTATTCTTGAATATTCTATAATTTAATTGTTGATATTTATTTAGAATAATTTTGTGTTTATAAATTAAAAACATTTTAATAATGGTCGTCCCATTGACTACATATAGTTGACCGACGGTTTCCGCAAAAAGATGTTCTAATTTATTTTCAAAGCTTTTAAATCTGAGAACTACTAATTCAATGTTTGGACATGTGTTTGCAGGTGTGATTTTGTGGCGAGGAAGTAGAAGCAACAGGAGGTCCTCCAGACAAGCTAACTTCTCAAGTTTAACCCGCTGCCACCTCCATGCAAGGGTACTTTCCATGAGCTCAAAGGGTAGAGGGCTGGCTTTTGATTTTTTTTGGTTGTTCTCTAGCCTCCAATCTGTTAGGAGTGATGCAAAGAGACTGTTATTGATCAGGCTAGGGATTTCCAACCCAAAGCTATGTTTCTCATACCTGAAAAGTGTATCCATGAAATATACATATCCTCTTGTAGTTTCTCTTCTAAATAGAAGACAAGTGCCTGAGGTTGTACATATCGAAGTACAAACCAAAGAAGCAGATCAATGGATCTCCCCGCAAGGCATCAATCAGCAGTTGAATGAGGCAAGCAGCGCATACTTGATCCTCTTCCAGTCGATCCACTTTCCTGTAACCAATGGTGCTACTGTTGCTCACCAGGTACCAGCCCAGCTCGCTGTCCCATGCCTCGACGAGATATTCCATGACCCTTTGTCCCATGTTTACTGGCTCTCGGATCTCCAGTGTGTTGAACTTTGAGACCTTGCCAAGATCAAGCTCGATCCAGCCGGTCGACTCCCCTTGCATTGGAGCCCAGAAAGTTTCCATACGCTCATCAAGGATTTGCTTTGGCCCAAACGAAGAGCTGCGAACGCTGCTTGCTGTCACGGACAAGGGATTTGCTGCTAAGTTGACGCTGAAGATGGAATCTATGGCAGAGCTAAACCGCTCCAGTGTCTGGAAGTCGGATTCGTCGATCAGTCCCAACACGTTTGGAGGGACGTTGAGCAGGAGGAAGCAGTTTCTGGCGGATGATTTGTAGAAAACGTCGAGCAGCTGCTCCAGGGATTTTGGAGCCTCATTCCTGTGCCAAACCCAACTGGGCCTGATGGAGATATCGCACTCCGGAGGGAGCCAGTTGGTTCCAGCACTCTCTCACGACATCAAGTACCTGTTGATGTTGCGAATTGGATCAAGTTTCACAAGAACGAAAGTCTCATGGAAGGATGGATTTTACGTACTGGCCATCGCTCCTGCCGATCGTAATGGAAGATCTGTCGCCATTGCCCAGCATGGTTGTCTGGCCTCGCCATACTCATTCCCAACCATGGTTGGTCCTGACTGCGTTCGGCCGAAATCCCAACTGCCGCCGAATGCGGTCGGACAAGTCCGTTCGGTGATTCCATTTGGCAAAAACAATTCTTTTAGGATTTTAAATTAATTTTAAAAAATTAATTCTGAGCGATGCGTGTGTACCGAGCTCTACAGGGCGACACTCTCCGGCCTCTGCTTTTGATTGAGCATTGAGCAGCTCGCTGAGGCCTCGCAAATCAAATCGCCCAGCCCGAGTAGCTCGCTAAGGCCTCACAAATCAAATCGCCCAGCAAAGCTTGAAATTTTTTCCCTAAAATGGAAATTGCAGTGATTTCAGAGATTTGATTCTAGTGATTCATAGCGATTCTGGCACAATTGAGCGATGGCGCCTGATTGGGCATGGTCCCATGTTACCAAGCTCACTCCTTATGCTTCTGGCAAAGGTGTTGTAAATGTAATTATTGTGGTAAAATGTATGGCGGTCCGCCGAAATAAATCAAGGTGCATTTTGCTAAAGTTTCTGGGAAAGATATTGAAGCATGTAGTGCTTCAAATGTTCCTCTTCATATTTAGAACCAAGCTCACCGAATGTTTGTGGAGCAAATCGCAAATGCCCCTTTGTCTTTACCTTCTACAGCAAATCTACAGAATAGGCATTTTGATGGGGCATTTGCTTCTAGAGCTGGTACACAAAGTGCTAGTCAATCTCAGCCTATGAGTGCTTCTATAGGCCATGAAGGATCATCTCTTGGTCGAAAGCAAATGCGAGATAGCAATATTAGGGAAATGCTTGATGATGCAAGAAACATGAACTTAGATGATGTGATATCAAAGTTCATTTTCTTGAATGCTATACCATTTAATGTTGTGAAAAGCCCATATATTCATGCGATGATCACAGCCACTTGTAGTGCTGGACCTAGTGCTGCATCGAGGATTCTTGGTTATAAGAAGCTTTGTACTACTCAGCTCACTCGTTACTATACTCTAATCAAGGAGAAGTTAGCTCCCTTTCGTGATGGATGGGCTCGATTTGGATGTACAATAGTGACTGATGGATGGTTTGATATAAAGAGCAGATCATTCATAAATTTCATGGTTACCTCTATCCATAGCTTAGTATTTTGGTAGGGTGTTGACACCAAAGGAGAAGAAAAGACTGGTCTTTGGCTTTGGGAGCAACTTAGACCCATCATTTTGGATGTTGGTGTTGAAAATGTTGTTTAAGTCATCACTGATAATGCTTCGAATTGTGTATCGATGGGGGAACATATGAGAGAAGAATTCCCCTTTATTTTACACAATCGATGCATGTGCCTGTTTTGGACTTGTTATTGGAGGATATTGGGAAGTTTGATTGGGTGTCTAAGATCGTAAATGACTATGAGAAAATCGTAAAGTTCATAACTGAGAAGCTGATGTTACTTGTTTTATTTCGAAAGTTCTACTCTAGAGAACTCATGAAGCTTGTGAAGACTCGATTCGCTTACATCTTTCTTATGGTCAGCCAGCTCCAGCATGAAGATGTTTTCCTGTGCCTTCGACGATTCATAGTGAGTTAGAATTTGAATCGTCAAAGTGGTATAACACAAAGGATGCCAAAAATGTTCATACAACAATTTTCAATGATGAATTTTGGAAGAATGCTTCTACTTTATTGGTTATGGTAGCTCCTATTTTGAAGGTGCTACGTCTTGCTGATCGTGAGGGCGCAACAATAGGATTAATTTATTAAACAATGTATCATATGATTGAAAGATTGGAGCTTGCAGCTCAAGATGGCAAGCTTCATATGGATAAAATTGATGCAATTAAGTGTGTCTTGGTTGAAGACTAACATAGACGGAGAGCTCAATGGTTTATGGTGCATAGCTCTATGCACAATGCTGCATATGCTTTGAATCTTTCATACTTTGAGCAAGACTTAGATGTTGAGGTAAGAAGTGATTGGATGGATTATTTATCACTCTATTGCTGTGGGGACACTCAGCTGGAAGAGAAGTTGGATGAACAATTCAATATGTTTCGATGAAGAATTGGAAGAACTATCAATCAGGATTTGCCGAAGAGCAAAGCAAAAAGGAAATTTCTAGTGTCTTGGTGGGAATTCTATGAATATGAGATGCTTGAGCTCAGGAAGTTAGTACTTCGTGTGTTGAGCCAAGGAGTGTGCTCTTCTCCATATGAGCAAAATTGGAGTAGTTGGAACTTGATCCAAACCAAATGACGCAATTGCTTGCTTCTAGAGAACTTGAAGAAGTTGGTTTATGTACACAGTAACACCAGAGTGGTGGATCATATTGAAAGTGAAGGAATGAAGTTGCTAGAGATCGATCTTGACACAATTGCAATCAAACCATAGTGGATGAGGATTGTAGAGATGCAAGCTAGGCTTGAATCTCTTGGTATAGAAGATTTAGCTGAAAAAAATTTTCCAAATGAAGATGTGATTGTTGAGGAAGATGCTGGAGATATCAAGGAACTTGCTAAAGATGTTGAAGAAAATAAGTAATAGTTAATTTGGTTTAGTCTAATGCTTTGGTTTAGTTTGGTTTGGTTTGGTTTAATGCTTTGGTTTTCCTACTTTTATTAATGTGGTTTTACTAAAAATGTTTTTTTTTTTCAAAAAAATTTTGTGAACCGTTCGGCCGTTCGGCATTTTCACAGCCGGTCAATAACCACGGTCGAGCAGTCGGCATTTGGAACGGTCGGGACCAACTATGTTCCCAACCCATCGGATGTTAGGGCCAGTCGGAAAAGATGTTTGCACCAGGGATGAATCGTGTCAAACCAGAGCTCAAAATCGTAGCTCATGTTCACTGCACTGGGTGATTTCGCACCATCCAGCCACACCTCGGAGATCGGCCCATATCTGCACGCAAAACAAAATGCCGCGTCAAGGCATCTGCTGCTAGAGATGAAAACTACAAAAGCCCACAAGCTCGCGAGCTCCTAATGCTAAAACCGTTTAATGGGCTGGAGGAAATGCAAACATATCACACAGTGATCATGCCACCAAGAAAAATGCGTGAAGAAGAAGCAAATAATGTCTCACTCACCCAGTAAGAAGCTCTCGGTAGAACTCGTTGTAGAGAAGAGTGTCGCCATAGCAGCTCTCGTGCAAATCCCATGGCGAGAGGTAAAAGCCCACGTACGCTCCCTGGCGGCGGCCACGAACTCGGCCACCACATCCCCCTTCCCTCCTCGCGCTAGCCACGGAGAAATTGGTGTAGGCCGAGGGCCACAGGCAGAACCCGTCGTGGTGCTTGACCGTGAGGATCACGAGCTGCGCGCCCGCGGATTGGGCCGCGTCCATCCACTGCGACGCATTCAATCGCTCCGGGTTGAAGATGGAGGGCGATTCGTGGCCGGATCCACGCTCCGAGTCCGTGAATGTGTTGACGCCGAAGTGGAAGAACATCAAGAGGCGGCGCGAGTGGAACTGCTGGCGCCATGAGGGACTTGGGCGGAGAGGGAGCGATGGGGGCGAATTTAGGAAGAACACTAGTATCTCGAGGAGCAAGAAATAGAGATGGAAATTCATTGCTATAGATAATGGAGGAGAGAGCCGTGCAATCTTCGAATCCATAGAGAATCCTAAGCTCTTCTCCTCCAAAATCATGATCCAGGCCTACGCACAGGCGAAAGATCTAAATCGAGCGCGCAGAACGTTCGATCGGATGCTCCGGCGAGATGCCTCGACGTGGAACTCGATCGTCACGGCATATGCCGACAACGGGTATCTTGATAAAGCGCGAGAGATTTTCGAATTGGCTCCAGAGAAGAACGAGCTCTCTTGAAATGTGATGATCACGCTTTGCATCCGCACTGGAAAGATAGCTTCTGCCAAGGATTTGTTTGATCGGATGCCCGTGAAGACGATCGTTGCGCAGACTGCCTTCGTCACAGCATTTGCCAGGGAAGGGCATTTGGAAGTAGCCGAGGCTTTGTTTGAGAGCATAAAGAGTCATGGGCTTTTGGCTCTCGCTGTCTACAGAAAACTCCAACCGAACAGCAAATGCAGGTTGGGCAGTCTTTTTCTCTTGAGTTGATACAAACAAAGACTTTCTGGCGACAGGCAACTGCATTTGAGGTGAAAAGGCTACTGATTCCCGGAAAGCAGAAAGAGGCTTTACGGGCTGCCCAAGACGGGCAACTTTGGGGATGTGCTCTTCTTATGGCCCGGCAGCTGGGAGAGAAGGTACCTAGTCTTGTAGAGACCGTTAGTGATGGTCTTGTGGTTTTTAATAGTTCTACACACTATAGTGGAGATGGCTCAACGTCAGTTTCAACCCTCCGGACTCTAACTCTTCTTTATGCTGGTCAACATGCTGGAGTGTTCGTAGGGAACACTAATTCGTCGAACGTAACAGCGCTTCAACCTCAACCGGTTCCAGCGTCCGCTGTAGATGGTGCAACACAGGTGAAATACTTTTATCAAGCTGCTCTCTTGCTTAAGGAGTGCATGTTGACTTGCAGGACGCAGTAGAAGGAATGCTCGAAGAATGGCAGGAAAACCTGGCTATAATGGCAGTTAACCGAACTAATGGGGACGAGAGAGTGGTTATGCATCTTGGTGATTGTCGCTGGAGACATCGAGATGAGGTATATACACGGTCACACGTTGATGTTTCTCATAGTTTTAACTTGCAGATATGTGGAGCCCATATTTGCTATCGTGTTCCAAATGCTAGTTTTGAGCCTTTCTCTACTTCTGCCAGACTTTGTCTTATAGCTGCCGACCATTGTTTCCACGCACGTACGCTAGTCCAGAAGCTATCCAGGTAAGCCGTGTTTGTCCTCAATAACAATTGTTAACCTTTTCTTCATCAGCGAATGGAAGTGTACGAATTTGCAAGAATGACCAGCAATTCCCAGTTTATTTTACTTCCTTTTCAGCCATACAAGCTTATTTATGCGTCGATGCTTGCTGAAGCTGGAAAGATAAACGAAGCTTTAAGGTTGGTAGTGTGTATCCTTAAGGTTTCTCTTTGAAAACAGTGGGCCATGCAGCTGATGTGTGCAAAGAAGCGGCTGTAGCCTTGGAAGAGCGTCTTCGTATCCACTCTCAGGTTTGTAAGCAGGCACTCGGCTTTTATACTCACTTTCCTGTTATCCAGGGAGGCTCGACGTCAATTGTGCAACGGTTTTTTGGCAATATTGGTCTACACAAGATGATAGGCCCTTCGCCCCCGAAAGCTTCCGATAATGCTGATATTAATAACCGTCCCGCAACAGCTTCTAGCAAAAGCAGTGTATCACTTGCCTCGTCAGCATCAATGGAACCCATAAGTGATAACACGAGAAGATCCAAGAAGCATTTCTGAGACTGAGTTTAGGCCTGCACAGGTAACTCGACTTGCTCTTGTGTACCTTCGATTAAGACTTGTATTCTTTCATCAGATCGTTAGTCCAGCGAAAGGAATGCCAAACAGAGGCGTCTTTACTTCTTTCGTGCAAAGAGCGATGGGCTTCATAAAAACACCATCGAAGGAGGTTTGTAGAAGCTTTGGAAAGAGCGCTAGCTGATTGATGGTCGGGTATGTGATGCAGGCAAAGCTTGGCGACAGCAACAAGTTTAGATACGACGAGACACTGAAGCGCTGGGTTGAAGAAGGAGCCGAGGCACAAGCGCCAGACCTTCCGTTGGCTCCTCCTCCCACGGCAAACAAGCTCGTCTCGCGCGTGGAGGAGAACGGCGCTCCTATTTCCATGTCTCCAGAGAGACCACAGCCAACTCCAGAAAGGCCGCAACCGGTTGTGAGTGGAATCCCACCAATGCCTCCGAGCAGTAACCAGTATGCAGCTCGCACACGTCAAAACGTTAGATCAAGGTACCGTTTTGGTCATTCCCAGCACTCCAATCTCACGAGGTTTTTGCAGATATGTCGATACATTCAACAAAGGTAGCGTAACACCATCCAAGACATCATCGGACTCTCCTCCACTGTTTGGCGTGGTGCCAAAGGCAAGCGCAAAGCCTTTGGCTCCAGCGAGATTTTTCGTGCCTGCGGCCGCTGCTGCCGCTGCTCCAGATATCATCAACAGCAACCATTCGGTGGATCCTTCCTCGGCACCAGACTTTGTCTCGACACGGCGTTCTCAAACGGGAATGGAGCATTCGCTCAGCCGGTTGTACAGGATATGAGAAACGATCCGGGGCCAACGCCTGATCATCTCTCGAGCAGCTCTTCGCCAGCAATGTTCTATTCGAATCACTATCCAGCAGCACCGTCGACCGTCTCGTTGCCGCCACCTCCAGCTCTGGAAGTCACTCCGCCAGTGATGGTCGAGCAGCAGCAGCAAAACCAACACCAGGAAAGTTCGATTCATCGGCACCACCATCAACAGTCCGGCACAGTGGGATTCGAAGCTGCCAGTTCCTCCGGAGTGTTTGGAGACGACTTGCAAGAGGTGGAATTGTAAATCACACTCCACAAGTAAGTAGTGTTGCTGGGTGGATTTTGGTAGAGCAGTGTAGCGAGGTAGTAGTCGTGGAAGGAGGAATTTTTTTTGGCTGGGGTGATTCTTTGGAGCCACGAGCGAAGCGAGAAAGCTCCTTAAAGTTGCTAGAGAAAGGAAACTCTTTACTGTGTAACAAATAAAAGCAAAGGCCTTGTGATGAATATACCTCGAATAATCTCCCGGATTTAAAATATGGCGCGCGTAGCTCCCAAGGCGTCTTGGTGGGATAAAACGCTGGTTATCTACGCGCGGTGTGGGCATTTGGAGGAATCGAGAAGGATCTTTGATGCATTGCCGGCCAAGAACATCGCGTCGTGGACGGCGCTCGCGACCGCGTATGCCGAGAGTGGGCATCCGGGGGAGGCCAAGGCAGCGTTCGATCGAATGGCGGTGTGGGACGTAGTTTCCTCCACTGCGATGGTCAAGGCGCTGGGCGATTGCGGGCGGATTGGATCGAGCAAGGCGGTGTTTGATACGATGCCCGAAAGGAACTGCAAGACGTGGGCGACGCTGCTGCGGGGATTTGCTCGGGGCGGAGAGATTGGGCGAGCGAGAGAGGTGCTGGATCGGATGCCCGAGACGAATGTGGTAGCGTGGACGATCCTCGTGCAGGGTTTCGCGCAGCGCGGGCGAGTGGGCGATGCGAAGGCCGCGTTTGATTCCATGCCCGAGAAGAACAGCATCACTCGCGCGGTGATACTCGTCATGTTTGCGGAGAATGGATTCATGGAGGAGGCGGAGGATGTCTTCCAGGAGATTGTCCACCGAAACGCGATCCTCTGGGGGGCGATGCACTGCTGCTATGCCCAAAATGGGGATTTAATTCAAGCCAAGAGTTTTTTTGATAGGATGCCTCATCACAGCGTACTTTCGTGGACGATTATGATCAAGTCATACGCGAAAAACGGTGATGCTGATCAAGGAAAACAAATGTTTGAGGAAATGCCACACAGAGATCTTGTTTCATGGAACGCGATAATCGCTGTTTATGCCCAGAGAGGTCGTTTCAAAGAGGCGATCCGGGCGTTTTCTTTGGTTTGCTGCTGGGATTCCTATTCATGGAACACAATTCTAGTGGTATATGCTCTAGATGCAAATATTCGTGATGCTAAGAAATCGTTCGATGAGATGCCAACTTGGAACTTGGTCTCCTGGAACACGATTCTTGCAGCATATGCCCAGACCGGGCATGCGTATTCTGCGATCCAGCTCTTTTGGGCGATGTTTCTTCACGGCTTTGACCCCGACAAGGCAGCGTTTGCCATCGTTTTGTCGGCGTGTAGCCATCTGGGGCTCGTCAAGGAAGCAGTAAGCTACTTCACGGCAATGAGCTTTGACAATGGATTGGATCCTTCGCAAGACCACTACACCTGCATTGTTGATGCTCTCGGACGACTAGGGCGATTGAAAGAGGCCGAGGATGTCCTGGAGAATATGCCTTTGCCAGCAGATGGAGTTGCATGGGCAACGTTTCTTACCGCGTGCAAAAACCACGGGGAGATGAATCGAGGGATGCATGCTGCGGAATTTACGTGCCAGTCCAGCCTTGTGAGTGATGCATTGCCTTATGTGATGCTGGAAAAAATCTTCAGAGCAGTTCAGACTTGATTCTTCACTGTTTTGATGTGTTGACCCAAACATCGATCGTTGATATCCAGCAATTCCTCGACCCGCCCCATCCCCCATGGATGGAGAGCGGGACGCACAGAGATTGGGCATAGGAGAGTCTTCAGAAATCTATCTGGAGTGTTAAGTGCAGTGGGTTTTCTATAGCCAGCAACGCAAGATCCAATGCTGCTGTTGTGAATTTGAGCAGCAGCACTGCGCTCCTCCTGCTCCACATCAGTGCCACCTCTCTGAGTTCCATATGTTATCATCTCCTCTGGGCCTCAGCCCATTCTTGATATTTACGAAGGCTCCATTGGATGTTGATACAGAGAATTAAATTTAAAGACAATTGGCCCACTTTTATGATGGGCTTAATCTATGTTGAATGGATTGCTCTTTGCAAAGCATGTATGCAAGGCGATTTTACAAGGAAATTTATCAAATCTTCTGCAAAGTCAATGCCATACCTGTCAAGAACCAAATCCTTGGAGAGCTTTAGGAATTAGTATAGGGATATATAGGGATGCATAATGAAGGATAGTTAAGTAATTTGATGATGAGAAGTTTGACATGGCACAAGCAGAGTGTGCCTCTCAAGGCATCCAAATCTATGTTCTAGCTCCCATTTGGAAATAAGAAATATTACAAGTGCCATTTCCTACTCATCCATTCCCTTCGAAAACTTTCTTTCTATTCTGCAGGGTGGAGTTTTACATATAATGTTGTTGTCACAAATAATTATAAAGCAAGTATAAGGGAATATTGCTTCTTCAATGGCAACTAGCACTTTGTAAAATGTTTTGTGACCAACTATTCCCTTCTCTTCCAATATCATGGAATATAAGTATATGAAAATTTTCAAAACTATCATGTTGGAGTACAATCTTAATCATTCTTAAACTCTTAGGAATACTAGACTCAACTCTTCAGTTCCCTTTAATCTTTCAGTCTAGCATCATTCCAAATCCAGGATTGGTATTCAGATTTAGAATATTGCACTAGCCTTTTGAGACAAGTTGTTTTGAATCCTTAGGATCATCCTCTAGTGATTTCAATCTACATTGAGTTATAATTTAAATAGATTGCTACTTTGTCCTCTATGACATGCTAGATGGAGAAAAAGTGTTATATAAGATCATATTTTTTATGCACTCCCCAAGTATTCTTTACAATTCAAATATTTATTTTGATAGATTTTTTTTCTGCAGGCTATTTGCAAAAGAACACCAAACATCTGATTGCATAAATAGACGATGATGGTCACATTAGCTTATGGTTTCCAGACATGCAAATGATTCTTTCACAAGGTGTATGACCTATTTGCACACATATCATATTTTTATATTCTTTATTTTTCCACAATACCTATTTTTTATAGCTTCAGTTTTGAGTATTTCTTCAATGTAGGCACTATATTTTTGGTTTTTTTAATAAACACTACACATATGACTATCATAGTCAAATTGTGATGGCCACATCAGCAATTTGAAGTAACATTGCCTTAGTACATGTCACCGTCACTATCATTTTTTTAACAGTGGCATTGTGACAGTGAAATCAATTTGAATGTTTTTCAAAACTAGCCCAGCTGGTTGACCACTATGAAACTTGCAATAGCAAGTTAAAATGCTAATGTGGTAGTTATTTCCTCCTGCCACTATTGCTGACATGTCAATTCATGGTTTTATGGTCTTGAGCAAAATGGGAGAGTAGCAGTTGAACGATTTGGAGATTGTGTTCTCCACTCAATGTCATCAAGAGTTTCTGTATGATGGTTCTCAATTCAGTAGGGGGAATTTTACTGCTCCCACTCCACCGAAGCCTCTGAAACCAATTAAAAATTGAGGGCATTGGTCTTTAAATGAATTATTGGCTCTAAATGAAGCAAAGAAGCATAATTTCTTCTTACAGTAGCAAGGTAGCATTCAGGAGAGGCACAAAACTACAAGCATTCATTGACAGTAAGTTTTGGATTTTTTAGACTTCCAGTCATTCACTAAGTTTTCAGCTATTGTTTGACACATGGTGTCAACCATTTGCTTGGCAATGCCAATCTCGTTAGGAGTATATCTACAAAGAGTTCAACAAAATCAAGTCATATGAATATCATGTTCCTACTGGTAAAAGCAATATTGAAACATGACAATAGAGCAACATTGTGAAGCTGATTTACCACCAAAGTTCAATGATCAACTCTATGCAATGATGGATAAGTGGCTTTAGGACTGTCAAACTGTAAATTCACAAAGACAAACTTAGGAATTAATGTCTTCACTACCTACATCCCAACAATCACTATTACCGACACCAAGAGCTTCAAAACAACAATCACTATTACCTCCATATGGAGAATCAGAGCTTAAAGGTATGTTTTGTAGTTTTTGTTTATAATCACTTTTGGCAATCATAGAAAACAACAATAATCCTGAAAAGCATAGTTCAGGCCGGCTAAGGAAGAAGTCCCACACGCAACTTGCAGAACAACTTGTGGGAGCATTATGTGAAAACAATGTAAACCTCATTGATACAATGGAAAATAGCTAGAAGGAAATTTGTTGTCATAATCTGAAAAAGGAAGAATTCATGGAGTGTCCTCTGTTTGTGGATAGCCAAATGGTGAAAAGTGTGGATCAAATAGCTCAAGCCTTGTTTGCAATTGCTAATTCTTTGGTAAGTTAATTCATTTTCTTATTCATGAACTTCATTTTTGTAGTTTACAATGTCACTGATTACTAGCATTCCCATCTTGCATTGCCACTACCAATATCCTTGGATCGATTTCATCAATTTAGATAGAGCATTCTTGTTGGAAGGACATGAGTGTTCACGTAAAACTGTTTGTATCAGTTGTCTGGCAATAGAAACACAAATGGATCAGAGTTAGATTGAAAGGAAAGAAAGAACTTTGCAAGAGTAAGTACCAAGAATGCCACACTGCGAAATGACAATCTTTGTGTATGGTTGATTGAATCCCCTCTCAATGACCACTACTCAGGTATTGCCTATAAGCTTGGCATTGCTGTGAGGATTCAAGATGAGATTTTTCCCAAGGAACGAAGAGAAGAAAATACATATCGAAAGTAAAGATTGCTTGTGTTATCTTTGACCACCCTAGTACTTGCAATCTTTTGGACAACATCCAGGCTTTCTATCACCTGCCCTACCACCGAATTCATTGGGAATTTTGAAGAATTCGTTGGGAAACCAAGTAGGATCCCAACTTCTAGTGATAGAACAGCTTCAATGGCCACAAGCTGCATTCCCTTGCGTCAACAGCCTCAAGCTGCATTTCCAAGCATCTTCTACAGTGCCATTCCAAATCATTTTCTTCCCTCTTCCTCTTGCTACCAAACGACTCAACACACAAAACCCCCTTTAATCATTTTAAAACCTTCCT